ATTCTGCTTTTGCCTGTATATTGCCATATGACTTATTTTTTAAATCTATTGTTTTGTACTCTCTATATTCAGCTTTCTTTCCTTTATGGACAACCATGAGCATTTAACATGGCATGGAATTGGACCTCTCTGGTGGCGCAAGTGGTTAAGACGCAACCTATGAAGCAGTCCGCAGCCTCTGTAGCACAAGTTCAATCCCCTGGCTGGTCAGGGAGCAACCCACATGGCATAGCAAAACTCTCCTGTCTCGACTGCTATTCCCCTCAGCAGTGTATTTCAGTGGATCTGCCTGTTCTGTTCCCCACTCTGTCTCTGGTGAGTCCTCTCCACCCCTCTCCCCTCCACACCTCTGGCCTGTGCCCCTGTTCTTGTATGCATAAATAAATCTCAAAAAAAAATGGCATGAAATTTAAAAAGCAAAAGATAAGTGTCTTCTAAACCAAGATCCCCTACCTTTGGGTAAGAAAGACCATCTCGTACAGCCCTATCTATTTTCATATCCAGAGGAAACAGGACCCAATCACTTCTGTTAAGATTGTGATGATTCACTTCAAAAAAGTGAGACAACTGTGTGCTAAACCAACTAAATCCATCCTTTCCTTTCATTCTGTTTACTATTTAAGGGGAACACTAATCACCAGTGCCTAATCTTAATACCCTAACCAACCTCACCCTGTCTCCTCTTCTTTAGTAAGGGATCACATCTTCACAGACGGTACAAAATTGCTAGCACAAAGTCCAACACAGGAGGGACCTAATGAAAGCCACACTTTCCTAGAGGCTCAGTGTCTCAACTCCTTCATCAGCTGTTTCATATCCTCCATGAACTATCTAAAATCTAATGATTCCAGAACACAGACATCCACTAACTCTATGCTTTGAATCAATTTCAAATCAGTTTGTGTTTTTAGCTGTAAAAATGGCTGCTCATATTATCTCTTAATAATTGAGCTATTTTGCGTGCAATAATTACACCTCTCCTATGTACAGAGCTAAATTGGCAAGTTTACATACTATGATAAACGAGCCTTAAAATAACCCTTTCAGGCTGACAGTGTAGTTATTCTAACCTCTGTTTCATAGATGAGTATTTCCAACATCCTCATCTCTAAGTTCCTTTTTTTAAGGATTTATTTTTATTTATTTATTTATTTATATATTCAAGAACTGGGGTACAGGCCAGATGCACGGGAGGGTGAGAGGATTCACCAGAAACAGAGTGGGGAGCATAACAGGCAGACTGACTAAAATGCACTGCTGAGGGGAGCAGCGGGGGAGACAGAAGACATCTGCTGCGCCATGTGGGATTCTCACTGGCCGGCAGGGATCAAATCCGTGCTGCAGCGGCTGCAGACAGCTTCACAGTGCTGCGTTCAACCCCCTGCGCCACCAGGGAGGCCCTCTAAGTTCCTTTCCAGTTTTGATATACTGAGATGTTACTTAATAGAAAATAACCGGGACACATATTGGGGGACACAGATTGGTGAAATAGCTTCATAGCGTTCCCTGAGCTATTTTCCCTGAGTCCAGAACTAAAACCTTGATTTCAAGAATTAAACAATAGAAATAATGTAAGAGCAAGGAGCATGGTCATGCTTCCTTACTTCCTTCCAATGTTGAATTGGTAAAGTTGTAATAAAAACAAGGAAAATGTAAGCCAAGTTAAAAAGAAAGAACTATGAAAAGCAATATATCCTCAAAAAGACAAACCTCAAAAGCAAAATGACTTCATGTACTAAAACTTGAGCTACCACGGCAATTTGTCATATATTTTTACTTCAGCCAACCATATTTTCACTTCAACCAACTATACTTCTCCCCTAAAATGAGTCAAAAATTTTAACTAACTATTCATTGTATATAAAGTGTACACAGTTTCTCATGTAATTTAACTATAATCTATCATAAGCTCCCCAGAATTTTTACATGCTATATACATTTGCACATACACATAAACAAAAAGCAATGTATGTATTATAGTTATAGGTAGATCTATGAGCTATATCTATAACTATAATACATACATAAAATAAGAATTTCTTCATATATGACATGAATATGTGTATAGGTTATACACACATACATGAACATTACATACCATAGTTTTCTTTTTCAAAGACATTCTTATTTTCAGAATTTAATCCTGAGGTGAGCAGATGATGGCAAGTATTGTAAATTTAGTCACAAAAATGAAAAAAATTACAATTTCATTCATAACATGTTACTTAAGAATAAAAATATTCTAAAGAACCAAATGTTATATAATATCCCATGTATACAATTATTTTTACTCTATTCCACTGCCAGATAATGTAAATACCATGTTACTGTCATGAAATAGATATTAAAGTGATTGAATTGAATAATTGTATCATTCCAGTAGATGTTCTTTTTGTGTGTGATAAGTTTTCATGACAATAATCCCTTCACAAACCTACCTATATCTTAAGGGAATTTCAGGATTAAAACTTAATTTAAGACTTTGGGCCTCCCCAGTGGCGCAGTGGTTGAGCGCTGGGTTGTGAAGCTGCCCGCAGCCTCTGCAATGCTGGTTCGATCCCCGGCTACTCCCCGGCCACCAGAGGAGGGTCCCACATGGCGCTCAGACCTCTCCTGCTGCCCCCTGCTCTCCTCAGCAGTGTACTTTGGTCCTTCTGCCTGTTCTGCTCCCCGCTGTGGCTCTGGTGAATTCTCTCACCCTCCCGCGCTTCTGACTGTACCCAGTGCTTGTATAAATAAATAAATAAATCTTTAAAAAAAAAAAAAAAGACTTAGTTAAAAATTTCTTGAATTCTCTAGAGAAAAGGTCTATAGTAAATACAGAGAAATTATCATCAAAGTCAGTCAAAATAACATTTTGTAATTTTTCCTAGAGAACACAAACACGAAATTATTTTCCTAGGTAAGAGACTATTTATGAGTTGTTTTTATTTATCTCATTTTGTGAAATAATTATGTATTTGCCTATTTGAAATCATATCTTAAAATATTAAGCCAAAATATTAACACCAATATGCCCAAGGAGTTTGATTGAATCAGTCTTATTTTATGAGCCAACTAGGCTTTTCTAATATTTCAGTGTTAACAAATAAAATTATTGGCATTTTGGCAATTTTAAGATGATTTGTAGGCTATGAATGCAGGGCACCAAAATTACTGCTTAAAAGAGGGAGGGAAAGTCAGCACTAAATAGTGAGCTATATATGTACATATATGTATATATAAGTCTGATAATATATATGTACACACACATTTACATATGATTAAATTACATTTATTTATCCAATATCTAAAATCTGTTTTTGTCTATAATGCTGAGTAAAATTTTGTGTAAGGAAATAAAAAAAAGTATTTTCCCACATTACTCTCAAAAGACAAGCATGTCATCGTTTTCAATATTAAAATAGTTGTAGTAATATTTCCATATTTAAAGTGGGAAACTGCTTTGCTGCATTGTTATTGCAGTGCTTGTTTCCATGGCAACACCTTCACTTCACTGTGTTAATAATCATAGACTCAGTGCTGGAGGGGCTTGGTAAGTATTAACAGAATGCTCTCATTGTTCAATTTGGGGATCAGGCCTCAGACTCCCAAATTCACAACTTGCCACTGTCAGCCTAGTAGTTAGTGTCAGAGAAGGAAGTTAAAGGTGGGTCTTCTGACTGCAAATTTCAGTACTCTTTCAAGTAGACAGGACAGCCTGCCACACTGTTCTAAATCAATTGACACTAAAATTCCATACAAACACATATATACATATGCAGACACATCCCATATCTATAACATATATGTAAACACCAACATAATCAAGTGATTTGAGTCCATCTCTTTCAATAGATAAACTAGACTTTTCTGACTTTTAAGTATTAACAAATAAAATTTTAAAAATATATTATCATTTTGGCATGAGAAACAAGATGAGATTTTCGCTATGACTATAGAACACCAAAACTGTTGCTTAGAAAGGGTAAAAATCAGTACTAAACAATCATTTATCTTTTTAATGTTTCCAATTGCTTTCCTAGAATTTTTCATTGAATTTACTAAAGGTGTCTGCACAAGAATTTGTCATTATAAATTAAAAGATATAAAGAAAAACTTCAACAATACATAGGCAATTCATTTCATGTTTCAATTTGCTAACCACTGTAAGAATAAGAAATACAATACACTAAGAGAAAAAGCAAATTTATTTAATCCAATTTTTATCTATAAATGAGAGTCTAGAGTTTAGATCTGTGTTGTCCAACACAGTGGGCACTAACCCACCATAGAGGCCCTTGAAATGTGGCTATTCTGAATTGAAATATGCTGTAAACATAAAATACACAGTAGATTTCAAAGACTGTGTCCTAAAAATAAAATTTAAAACATCTTAATTATAAACTGATTATGTTGAAGAGATTTATTATTTAATAAACTATATTATTGGAGCTAATATGATTTGTTTCCTTCCATTTTTTTAACATGAGTAGTAGACAAAATTTTTCCTTCCCCCTTCCTCCTAGAAAATTTTAAATTGTATATGAGGCTTGTATTAGTGGTTCACATTGTATTTCTACTAATCATCATTGGCCTCAGCCATTCACACACTAACCTTACTAATTGAAATATTTCATTTTCCATTTCCACAAGTTCAAAACTACCCTACATTATCAACAATGACCCTCTCTCCTCGAACCCTTTTCTGGTGTCTCCCCTCAAGAAGTGAGCTTTCCTCTAAATTCCACAGCATCTTGCTTGTGACCCACCCATTTTACTCTAATGAGATAGCAGGGTACAAGTTACTGGAAAATACGGTCTGTGGATGGTTTCAGGAAATTTCTAACCCACAACACAACTACCGTAGAGCTTCAGTAAAGTATCAGCGAATTTTTATTAGACAGGTGACTAAACTTATTTATAGTGGATTTATTTTCAATTCACCTCCATTAAGATAAAACTGAGATAAAATCAAAATTTTCTAAAGTAGATCTATGACTTAGTAAGAGGATACGTACCAGTTGAGTCTCAGATACTGTGGATGATAATGAGGAGAGGTTTGCCTGCAAAATTATAAACATGGTATTTATTTAGTAAAATTTGAAATGTGTAAAAGAATAATCAATGGTTTTAAGTATTTTGGAGTTTTTTAGTATTAAAATAAACAAGTCAATTCTAAGAATTTGAAAACTACAAAGTAAAAGGAAAAATATTTACTAACAAAAATTATTTTTAACATTACTGATACATTCCTAACAATATTTTCCTGTACATTTTTATTAAGTTCATTTAATAGTGAATGTTTTATGTGCTGAGATATAAAAATATATCAAAACAAGCACAACCACAAGACATCAGAAATACTTCAAGATGACGTAATACTTCACGCCTGTCTACTTCATACTTTATTTAAGCATATCGGCCTTGGGCCTCCCTGGTGGCGTAAGGGATTTAGATGCAACCTATGAAGCTATCCACAGCCACTGCAGCGCAAGTTTGATTCCCGGCCAGGAAGCTACCCACATGGCACAGCAGACCTCTTCTGACTTGCCCGCTGCTGCCCTCACCAGTGTGTTTTGGTCAATGTGCCTGTTCTGTTCCCCACTCTGTCTCTGGTGAATCCTCTCACCCCCCACACCTCTGGCCTGTATCCTGGTTCTTGTATGCATAAATAATCTTTAAATAAAATAAAATTAAAAAACACATCAGCCTTGTATATTTATATTTATTTATAGCAAATTGAAACATATAACAGATTTTTTTCCTTAAAGAATATTTAAAAAAAAAAGTTTTCATGATTTGGGAAAGAAAATGATTTGTTTTTATTAAATTGTTTTTAAGTTAAAGAGGGAACATATTGTTCCTTCCTCCTTAGTTCTGAATTTGACTTCATCTAGATTGTTTCCTTTTTACTAGTGTAAGTAGTAAAACTCTTGGACATTGACTGAAAATGTTAGTATTTTGTTTTTTATGAAAATTCAATAGACATAGAATTATAGGGTAATATGTATTATTTCTCAGTCTTTCAAAGATATTGTCACATTAGAATCTTCACTCTAGTTCCTGTTACCAGAGTCAGTCTAAATGTCACATTGTGGTGATCATCTGCCTTCACATTTAGTTAGCTTTTAAGATTTTTCACCATGACATACAGTTATTTCATCATGATGTATTTGAGTGTGGATGAGTTTCTGTGTGTTCTTTTTTGGAGACTTGGTGTTTTCCTATATTTTGAGTATGCCTATCTTTCTTCAATTCTGGGAAATCCTCCATGAACAGCTCTTCAAATGTTGCCTTATTTTCATTATATCTAATATGTTCTTAGGGTAAATATAATTCTTTTAAATATAATTCATCTCAATCCATCTTCCATTTCTACAAACTTTCCTTTTGTACTTTTCATTTCTTTATTCTGCTTGCTGGTTTGTTCCCACATATAAACCTGCTAATTAACATATTTTTCAACTCTATACTAGTGCATCTAACACAGCAAAAGCATTTTTTATTTTAATGACTTTCACTTTTAGCAATTCTATTTGGTTATTTTTCAGATTCTTTTATGTTATCTATAACAACTTTTAATTATTTCAACACTAAATAGATTCATAAATTCTTTCCAGACTTTTCTACAATTCCCCCATTATTAAATCTCCTGCCACTCATTTCTGCTGGCTCTTTCTCATGCCTCTCCCCTGTAATGTCCTTTATTCATCTTATTGTTTTTCATTCTTGATTTGGAGCTTTTCAGTCAAGGTAACTTTGGTGATAATTTCCATAGATGTCCTGGTGGGAAAACCATCTCTATAGTACCATTCACTTTTGCCCTTGTGGGAGGCCTTGAAATTTTCCTTGCTTCTGTGGCAGAAGCATTTTATTTCATTACTATGATCTTCCTAAACTTCAAGGGTGGCAGATCCCCACATCTGTATTTTCATAGATTTGGATTCATTTTCTCATACATAACTCTTTTACCACCCAAAAGTACAGGGTAGAGATGGTACAAGAATTTATCTGTTATTCTGTTTCATGCTTATTGGCCTATGTGATCTTCTAGGCTCCTGAATGTATACAAGGAAATTCTTTACAAATCTTAGACTGCTATGTAGTAAAAATCAAAACCTAAGCTCTTGGAAAGATGAATGCAGTGTAACTTCACTCATGATGCACACAAAAAAAACAAACAACAACAAACCCTTAGACTCTGATGCCAGAATGGTGGCTACCAAAGGAGGGGGAGAGGGTGGAACAGAGATATCTACAGTTGCCACAGTGGGAAATGGAATATTTGAAACCTACACTGTGTTGTAAACCAATTTATCTCAAAAAAAATTAATAGAATAAAAAAAGATAATTCAGAAAGTCATAATCACAACAAGAAAATAAAGCAAGGTAATCAAAAAAAAAAAAAAAGAAGAAGAAGCTAAGCTTTTGGTTACTTGCACCAAAGTTCTGATGCACCTGTTCCACCACAGGGTTAGCTCCTTAACACCCCCTCCTGGATCTACATTTTTGGCACTCAGAAGTTTTTGTTTTTGTTTATCTCTTTAGTCTTTATGTATTTTTTGTAGTTATGTTTTGTTAGGCATTTCTGCATTTAAATGGGAGGTTGAGCTCCACATTAGTTCAGCCTTCAACATTGAGGGGATGTAGTCAACATACAGATGCACAATTATAAATACACTCGGATAAATATGATAAAACTGTGCTTCTAAAATATTTCTATTTTTGGAAATTGCAGATAATGTCAGGGCCCATTATAGACATGCCAGTATTGTTTTTACTTTCTGAGACATGAGCAATGTAGTATGAGAGTGATAAGGTACTAGTTCTTATAGGATACCCAAGTACACAGGGGTTGTGATGCCCAACAGGTGACAAGGCACATGGAGTCTTTCCCACACTGTATCCAGAGTTGTTTTCTGCTCTTCCATTCATGCCATTCTTCACAAGAACTGTCAGTGATGCTGTATTTCCTGGTTGCTAGGTGGCAGCAGGGTATGGTAGCTAAGTGCTCCACATCTCTAACTGTTGCGGACCAGGTCAGTATGAAATGTGGTTTATGGTTATTCTGTGCTGCAGAAAACTGCCCATCAGAATGTCCATCTCAGTAGTTTTTCAGAACACCTAGGATTTCATTTTTTTTAAGATTTATTTATTTTGCATACAAGAACTGGGGTACAGGCCAGGGGTGTGGGGGAGAGAGGATTCACCAGAGAGAGAGTGGGGATCAGAACAGGCAGATATACTGAAATACACTGCTCAGGGGAGCAGTGGGCAAGACAGGAGACATCTTCTGTGCCATGTGGGTAGTATTCTGGCCCGTCGGGGATCGAACTCGTGCTGCAGAGGCTGCGGATATCTTCACAGTGCTGTGCTTAACCCCTTGCGCTACCAGGGAGGCCCATAGGATTTCATTTTTAGCATGGGTAATTATTTCTTCTACAACCTTAGTTTTTAACCTTTAATTAATTTTTCATAATTGCATTGATGAAAGAATCCTCTATGAATTCTCCTTTAAATTAATAGCTTCCATTAAAATATATTGAATTAATGTGAGACTCTTCAATGAAATAAAACAGTAAAATTTTTATCTCAAAAATGATAGGAAACTATACTTATCAACACTCGCATATTTAAAAGTTGCTAGGAAAGCATAAATTAAAAATTATACATTAAAAAATTATTACAAGAAAAAAGTTTTGTAACTATATATAATGATGGATGTTTACTTGACATAACTCTGGTGATTTCTTCACAATGGACACAAATATTATTTTGCACACCTAAAGTGATCATGCTGTATGTCAATTATACCTCAATAAAAAACAATTATAAGAAAAGTTTGCACTTCAAAAAAAGTACTTGTATAATTTAACTACATTGCCAATATCTTCCCGTATATTATCATTACTGCTAAATGATACCAAATAATCACAAGGAAAAAAGATAAAATTCTCAAGCAAATACACTATTTAAATTAGGAAAACTCCCAAGTAACCAGTCTCCATAAGACCACAAAATTCATTTACTGGGAATCATATCACAATAATAAGACACCTTAGACATCCCAGCAGATTTTTATTTCATCTAAAATAATTAACTTCTTATCACTATTGTGATATGTATTCCCAGAGAAAGGACAAAATCAAATGCAAACTCAGGATGGAGTAGATATTTAAAAAGTCACTGGGGATTTTCCTTCCAAAAATAAATTAATAATAATAATAATAATAATAATAATAATGATGATGATGATGATGATGGCTTATGTGAATTATCACAAATATAATCAGGTTCTTTCAACCAATTCAATCATTTCAAACTCTTTGAGAAGCCTTCATATGCTTGCCTAATGCATGTTAATTTTTTATTTAATATTATGGCTTCAGTTTTGTTATCAGTAGCAAAACACTTATTTTCCAAAAGTGAAGAATGTTTGGTGAGCTGAGACTGCAACAGTAACTGGAGTAGGTGCTATATTTGATCAATTGCCCAAGAGTCAATTACATTAAGATAGAAAAGAAACGAGGTAAATGAAATTGAGTTTATAAAATTAAATTTGGAATTGAATTTAAATGGCACAAAATTTTTAATAATTTATATCTGTCTATGTTAATATCATGAAAAACAACATGAGAGATGAGTGTAAGGATGGCTCTGTGTCAAACAAAAATCCCAGAATCTATATTCTATAGCCTTTGATATTAATTTAATAACAAAAGAAATAAAAGAGGGGAGTGGGAGCTATCCAGTATATTATCATAAAATAAAAACTAGCAGAACTCTCAAAAATTGTGAAGTTCAAAATTTCTTCAAAAAAAAAAAAAAAAACAAACAAACCTGTGAGTCAAGTTATAAGGAAAGCAAAGACTAAGCAGAGAAATGAGGATTTGAAATCCACTGAAAATTAAATTACTTCATAAGGCCACTACTGTGCCAAAGCAGCTTTGGAGAAACAATTTTCCTTTTCCAATGACTTGATTCCAAAAGCAAGTAAAATATAATCAAGCTCCTTGGTCACTGCCTAGAGTTAATTTTCCTTGCAATCTGCAGCTCTCCGCCA